ACTCTTGGGTGTTTACCTCTAGAAAACTATAATTTGAAAAGATACATTTACCCCAACGTTCATAGCAGCACTGTGTATGATAGCCAAGATATGGAAGCAACCTAAGTGTCCGTCAACAGATGAGTGGATTATATATATACACACATATATATATATAATGGAATACTACTCAGCCATAAAAAAGAATGAAATAATGTCATTTGCGGCAACATGGGTGGACCTAGAGATTATCATACTAAGTGAAGTAAGTCAGAGCAAGGAAGACAAATAGATATCACTTGCATGTGGAATCTAAAATAATGATACAAATGAACTTACTTACAAAAGAAAGAGACTCACAGACATTAGAAAACAAATTTATGGTTACCAAAGGGGGAAGAGGGGTGGGGATCAAGTAGGAGTTTGGAATTAACATAGACACACTACTATGTGTAAAACAAATAACCAACAAGACCTACTGTACAGCACAGGGAACTATACTCAATATCTTGTAATAACCTATAATGGAAAAGAATCTACAAAAAGAATATATATATGTGTATAACTGAATCACTTTGCTGTACACTTGAAACTAGCACAACATTGTAAATTAACTATACTTCAATTAAAAAAATGAAAAGGACACATAGCTAGAGATGTAGAGATAATTTTAAAAATGAGGTTGTATTAATAATTAAGAAACTCATTAAGATTTTAATTAATCAACTAATTACACTTTGATGCTAGGCCAAGTGCAATGGCATGTACTCTGGTCCCTTTTGTCCATGGGTTTAGTTTTAAACTGTTCTGATTCAGGAATTCCACTTAAACAGTTTATCTATGGGAGTTAAAACCCAGGAAAACTGATACTTGATAACTAATTTCAGGAGGGTCTGTTCATATTCACAATGCCCATTTCCAATAATTGCTGTCTAAGACTCTTTTTTTGTTATCAGTACAACATGGGAAATGAATTTAATAATCAGTACATGCTTGATTAATACACTAAATTAGTAGAATTAGAAAATAATTCAAACAGATGGTGGCAATCTATATATAGCACTGTTCTGCTATTAAAAAATATGAATAGATCTGGAGGAAAAATATGACAGTTTTTACCTGTGTGCAAAAGAGCCAAACTGCAATAGAAAGTGGCTTTTGGAAGAGAGAAAAATAAATGGTATTTATAGTTCCATTTATTACATGGCAATCACACTGTGATTGGATAATTTGGGTCAGTTTTAGCAGACACTAGGAATTCCCATTATTAATTAACCAAAGAAATAAACAAAAATAGGATCCCTGGAAACAATGTTTGGATACCCTAGCCATTCCTAGAGGCTGTTGTTTTTGTAACACATGCCTGGTTTAGGAGGGCTTGCTATGCATGGCTTGTCTAGGAAGACATGGATTTGATTTTAGAAACAGAAATTACTTTCCTCTGGATATATGTTTCCTGAACCAAGAACAGCGGGCAGACTGTCTTGATTCTTGCCCATGCTTTAGCATAGCTCTTTAATGACAGAAACATACTGATTGTCACACGAGGCTACTTTCCATTTTAAATCCTGAATTAATGCTGTTAATTGCTTTACTATTCACTTGTTACCTTCTAGACTTCATGGGATCACCACCTATCCATATTAGCAAGATTAAAACCTATGGTGTTTACATTACAGTGTACATTACAGAATGTTAACAGGTAAGCGGCAAAGGGGTTCGGTTCTTAAAGGCTTTAGAAATGCAGAATGATACACAGTTGGGCAGGTTTCTTTACTTCAGGATTTCTCGAAGCTTTCATTATGTTCATATGCATTGTGCATTGTGTATTGTGCAAAGGACTTAGAGAATGCAATGTGTCTAAACATTATTTAGCTAGGGAATCCTTTTATCGGGGAAAGGATTTACTGCTACATCCACTGCATTTTTAGTAATCATTGTGATGTCTTCTTACGAGTCTAACATCACCAACAAACACATTGAAACATCCTGGTGAAATTACTGGGATATGGTTCTATAGGTGGTGGTTAATTCCACACGTTTTTTCTCTTGAGCTGTGTTGCTGTGTTTGGATACATTGCCCGTGGGAGTCTAGGTGCACTACAAATTCTTGTAGGGACCTGCGAATCCTCTTTTGGGTTCCTAGTACCATTAACATAACCACTTACTTATCATTGAGCTGATCCATTAGTTTGGAAACTCCCCAAGGAGGTGGGGATGTGTTCCTTGTTTTCAGCAGCTTGAACAATGCCTTGCCCATCCCAGGGGCTTGGATATTTTGTTTCAGATGCAGTTACAGCCACCAAACTTCAAGCAAGGCAGAATTTTGATCCGTGGTTAACATCTTCCACTTAAAGATTCCTCTTTACCTGTTTAATCGTATTACTTCACCAACGATATTTTGAGAGTATAGTATCTGGCATGCATTTTGTTTCGTACTGAGCAGCATCGTATATTAGACATCATTGCCAGTATAAACCTGTTTGGTGGGGGTGGGAGTGGGAAGAGAATGGCATACAGGATTGTTTGGGTAAGGGGTCAGCTTTTGAAAATGAGAAGATCTCCTGAGGGTTGTCCACAGTTTGCTAAGGGGTAAATACGACCCATGAGATTCAATGAGACTGTTTTTTGATAGGCTCACTCAGGTCAGATTTATGCTAGAATGACTTGATTCTTTCCAACAGTTTTACAGTGTCACTTTATTTGATCTAAATTAAAAGAAAAAATTACTGATTCAAAGTAAGAAATTAAGAATCAGTACTTAATACTTCTGAAAAATGGTTCTTAAAAAGTATTATCAGGAACTAATTGTAATTACATCCCATGGCAGCCTGGGAACTCTTCTCATTTAATTACAAATTCAACATTTGCACTTTCTGGACTGAGACAGAGAAAGGCTACAAACAAATTGTCAATTAACTTTTTCTAATTACTCACATACAAAATTCAAAATAGTACCAAAAAATAAGCTATCTGTACAAGAATAGCTGAACCCAAGCATACACTGAAAATATTGTCAAATTATGTAAACTGTGTCACCAATTAGAATGCCTTCAAAATGCAAGATTAGTGCCAAGTTGGTAAATTTAAACAATGTGCAAATAAACTGCATGTTTCTAAGCAAATGCTTGCCAGGGCGTGTTACCCTAGTACCTACTCATTCAGTCAACATGAAGAACCTCCTATGTATTGTGTGTTCTTCCAGTTAAAAATTAACAGTTCAGTTGGGACAAATCTTCTGAGCAGTTTATAATAATGTCCCCTTTATTCCACTTCTTATCTAGTTTTTTCTTTCTTTCTTCTTTTTTTTTTTTTGCCCCTCTAATTTTACTACCAGTCCTTTACTCTCAGGAGGGCTTCTACTTCTCCTAGGATTTGGGGCAGAGATCTGCTGAGTTTTCCAACCCGTGTTTCCTTCTGAAATTGGGTTGGTAGCCTAGGGAGGAGGGGCTGATCTTCTTGATCTTTGTCTTAAAGGAAAGCCTTGTAAAAAGCCTACTTCCCTCCCACTTCGTCGAGGCAGCAGACTCATGCCCAAGGAAATGGACACTCCAGTAGTCTCCCCGAAGTCCTCTGCTGTGCCTTCCTCTAAGTTTAAAAGGTGAAACGTACTGGTCCCTCCCCCAGCTATACCCTTTGTCATGTGACTCTGCAGGTCTCACAAAGGAAGAAGTGGAAACCATTCCACATAGCTAGCTGTATAATTTGCTTTGACTAAGAGAACTTAGTAGAAGTGATGATGCTTCAGTTCGGAGCAAAGCCCTCCATCTGCATGCCCGTTTTTCTGCCATTGCACAAAAACACATCCGGTTAGCTTGCTAGTGGATGAGGGAACCCAGCCGGGTTGCCACATCATCCCAGTATAGCCATCCTACATCACTCAGCAGCCCGTCAACCCCAGACATGTGGGCAAGTGCAGCTGGGATCAGAAGAGTCCTGTCGGATCAGCTGAACCTCACATCCCATGAGCTAAACAACTGCTTATTATTGAAGTTTTATGACTCCTGTGTCACGTTATCATGGCAACGATACTATCGCCATAGCTAATGAATATAATGTTATTGTGACTCACTCCTGGCCTCCATCAAAGGCTCACTCTTGTTACTTAGTTAACGTCACAAACACACAAGCTGCTACTGCGTGTCAGTGAACTTTGGGGATCCTACAGAATGTGTTAGGTGGCATGGTATTAGTGGTCTCAGTGAATTCTCAGCTAGTGAATTAAGAAAGGCCCCTGAAAAAGTTGGTCTACTGAAGCAGGTGAATGGTAGTGGTGGAGGTTTTGATGCAAACTGCATTCTTTAAAGTATGCACATGTAACTTCAGTGATAGAAGTCCCCAGCTGAAGGCTTAGTGAACAAACAAAACTTTTCCATTTGTTCTCACCTCCGTTTTCACCTACTTACTCAACAGGTTGCTGGGAACCAACAACTGGTTCTTCAGGTCTGCTCAGTGTGTGTGTTACTTTGGGGTAGGTGGGACGTTTAAAAATCTATGTTCATTGGAGTGTATCGCTTTTCTTTAACAAATTAAATGTTTTGGGATTTTTCTATTTTGTAGTTTTTACTTTTAGAAGCAAGTAACATGATTCTCAAAACTATTTCCCATGGGATGGCTTAAGAAATGGATTACATCTGCTACCACCGTGGTAAAATCCAGTGCACATATAAGAAGCACAGTATTTGAGAGCATGAGGCTAAATATCAGTAGCCCCTAAGTTATTAAAACAAAAGCTCAGTAGGCTTCACATACATATTTTTAACATCCAACATTATTTTTTCCCTATCAATCAGCCTTCTGTCTGTAAAGGAAACTGAGAAATATATAAGAGAGAAGAGAGGAACACAGAGGAGAGAGACAGTGAGAATAAGAAAGAGAAGGTATTTGTGGGTATGAGAGAAAGTGCAGGAAAGCACATAGACTAATCAGGATACAGACTCTCTTCATATTTTATTTTCATAACTGTATATTCAAAGCTCAGGGTCTATCAGTGAACACTGCTGAAGAATATCAAAGCCATCTTGTGTTAAAATTACTTTTATTCAGGATGAAAAATACAACATGTAACCAGATTAGATGATAGTCTATGATTAGTTCTTTACCACATATTTCAAAAGAACTACATACTTATTTCCCCTTGTTGTTACTGCAATATATTTCTTTTTATTTATTATTACTTAGAAGGTTACAATGTAGTGTTTTATGTAGCTTTTCCTTAATAGCAGATAGAGAACATGTTGTACACAATTACAGGCAGAAAAAAATTAATACATAACTTTTCAAGGTAAGGACAAGGAAGACACCAAATCTACAACTTGTAGTTCAGAGTTCAGGGAATTTTTTTTTTCTTTAAATAGGTACTTTTATTGGGTATGATGTGGTCTGATAAAAGCTCTAGATTTTTCAGACTGCAGCGGCATAAAGCTATTTCCAATGCAATGGATGAAGATGGATCTGAGGTAGAAAGGTGGTCATGGCTTTCCTCTTATATAAAACAATTTTCTTCTTCTCAAAATATCTTTGCTGCAAATAGACACCCTTGCCCCCAACCCACCCAACCTATTCTAAAAGAATAGGATTTCTAACTTTAAGCCTCCTTCTGGCCAGATCCCAGTTAAAGAGAACTCAAAGTTAAAATGTCCTGATGTTTTAAATGCACATATGCTTAAATCAAAACACATTACTTTCACTATTTGTTTCGTTTTGTTTCTCTACATTTGGTAAATTACATAACACATTAAGCTGAATCAAATAAATGTTAAGTCAGAAACTGAACCAAATACCTAATGGATGCACTCAAAGGTACAGGCCTGGGTTCCACCATCTAAGCATTAATTTCATCTTCTATAGAAGCAGTGACACAGGCTTTTGATGAACATCATTCCCACATGTATTGATCAAATGAAAGGTAATAAAACGGCTGTTCATTCACCCAAAAGGAAAACTGAGACATTTGTTAAATTTGTGTCTGCTTTCAGAAGGAAAATAACTGACGGTTTCAAGAATCACAAAGGGCTTGAATATAAACAATCATAAAACTCTCTTCAAAGGGAACCAAAACAACCCTGTGTTCTGGTATCACAATTAGGTAAAGGACTGCTATGTACTGCATGATGAAAACCAACACCTGGGAACTAGGAAAAGTTGCCCTAAGTTTTGTTTCTGTGTCAAAATGAAAATATGCCTAAATGGGCAACCTTTGGGAAAATGACCTTTGAGGTTATTAAAATCCTGTTTTAATCTATCATATAGATTGGGACATGAAATAAATAAAGAAATCAAAACCTACTTATATGGAGCAGGGAAGTAAAATTCAGGAAAAAAGTCCCAGTAGAGATGTCAGGCCCACAGGATTTTTATTGTGGTTATCCAAGTGGTTGCTAAAGAAATAGGTGTATGATGTCAAATAAAGTTCAACAGCATACACAAAGCTGTAGCCTAATTCAGACACATAGGATTTGACTGAAATATATAAACTTATTGATTTGGCCAAATCATGGAAACAAATACAGAAAATCTATTTGGTCATGTGGCTGATGGATTATAAATAACCAAAACATAATGGTAAAAGAGTCAAAGAAATAAATGAAGTTATTGTACAAGGTTAATATGAAGGAATGTAAAAATGCAAAATTGTCTTCTAATTCTTAACGCAATTTTTGCCATGGTTATTAAAAAGAAGGTATCATATTAGAAAGCCCCCACCCACTTTCCCAATACTGTGTACAGTATACAAATCAGTGACAAGTGTTATTACCATTTCCAAATACCACTCTGTTCATTAATTTACAGTTGCATAGAAAGGGAAGAAGAAACAATAATATATGATTATTATAAAAACAAAATATCCTTTTCTCTTTGGATAGTCAGTGTTTTACTCCTTCAGTAGAACACACAGCGCTCAACAGCACGTTTCAAAGAGTCACGGAGCTTCTGATTAAATGGAACTTGAAATTGGCATTTGCTGAAAAGGGCAATACTGTTAAGTCAAGAAATGTTTGTTGGCTGGATGAATACTTCACATTGCCTGTGGGAAGGGAAAACAGTGCTGTCAGAACAACATTTACATAAAACATTACAGGTAGCAGAGACCTGTCAACTCTTAAAAAAACATAAAAGTGTTTCTTTCAGAACTAGACAAGCGCTGTTTTGCTGTGTTCAAGGGGGATCCTGTACTACCATGTGACTTCTGTTCCTGGGATGAGGTCTTCTGCTCTCATCCAGAAGTCATTTTGCTTTTTATTAACACAGCTGATCTAGAGGAAGTCTGGAAGACGTTTTTCTTTCCCAGGCTGGAAACCAAGCTAAAATTTAGAAGATCTGGCTTTTGTGTGTGGCGGGGGTGGGGGGGTAGGTACTAATGGTGAGTGAATTAGGCTGGTGCAAGCACTTCTGTCTTCCTGGGAGGACAGTCTACGGGAGGTCTCCCGCAGAGGCAGTACCCTTGATAATTTCAACCAATCTCAGTCCCGAGCTGGGGCCCAAACCACAGGAATTCAAGACAAGAATCACAGTCCAAGGAAGTGTGGTGCTGCCAGTTAAAGGCTCAGGGCCAATGTACACAGGCAAGGGAGGATATAAATCCAGGCCACACTCAAGGGAGTGATGTCAGCCTTTCAAAGAGAAGCTCAAAAGTTGGGTCCATCATCATTAAAACTCATGTCCTTAAATTCTTCCCTGAATTGCATCTTCCACCTGCTTGCTCTAACCAATAACTGGATCTCCCCTGAAGACACAGCTTCCCCCACAACCCTTTCACATATGACTGTTTTTTATCTCCCACACTCTTCAGGTATTGGATAAGTCCTTCCTAGGTCCTCACAGTGGTTTTCAAGGCCCTTTCTCTCTCCTGCTTCCTAAAAACACCCAGCTTTGACTCTCATGCCATCAGACTATACCACCAGCTATGCAGTCATTTTCAGCCCCTTGGCTCATGTCCCCTTACTTCTTAAAGAAGAAATGGCTCACTGTCACTCACTATTTTTAAATCTTTGTGATTTCAATGCTCACACAGATGATTCTTTCAAAACTCTGGCCTCTCAGTTCCTTGAGCTCCTCTCCTCCATGAATCTGTCCTTCACACCCTTCTCAGCCACTTACTCAAAGTTCCCAATATGGACCACCACTAATTCCTGCACTGTCCCCAACATCTCAGTTTCAATTACCCCACCTTCTGACAATCACCTTTATCCCTCCAGCTTACTTCCACTAGGACCCCAACTTCATCCATCCTTTGGTGCTGCAATCCATTGATTTTTCCTACCTTGTTTTTTTCTATCTCCCACCCCTAACATGTCCTCTCTTCTTTTCCTACCAAGCTCAGGTGTCTGGTTCAATCATTATCATCACTCCTTTGCCTCTTCCCTTGAACTGCTGTACTTTCTTGGCCAAACCCCAACTTCAACGTTGGTTAAATGCAATACTTGGCTTGCTCTGGTGCCTGTGCTCATGAACTTGAATGTAGCTGAAGGGTTAAATTCATGAGCAAGTACCTTAAATGGTGGCCTTTAATGCTGCCTGGTAGTCATTCTATTTCCCTGTCCATTTGCTCTTCTGAGCTCCAAGCAGCAACAGCTCATCCTCCAGTCTCTCCTCACACCTCCAATGCCTCCTCCCCATCCTCACTCTCTGCTGAAGCCACCACTTCTGATTCACTAAGAAAACAGAAGCAGTCAGTAGACTTTTGCTTCCTGGGATGAAGTCCTTCCTTCTCACGAGCTCTCGCGCCACATCCACTAATCTATGTCAAATTCCTTTGTCTTCCCTCTATTTACTGAAGATGAACCATCTGAGCTTCTCCCTAAGATCTCAGCCCCTCTTGCCATTAGGACAATAATACATTCAGACGGTTGACTGTTTCAAAAAGTTTCACAAATAAGTGCGTGAAAGAAGATGTTCTCCAAAGATTAACTGTGGTCTTATGACACATTATTTCTAAGATTACCTGATAAGGAACATACTGAAAGCCTGAGGCTGTTAACTCCCAGTTCTGAACCCATTTTTAAAGGAAAAATCAAACCCTTTTCCCTCAAAGTAACAAAACCACCTTTGTGCACTGCCCCAGTCACTGTGTTTAAATCCATGTTCTAAGTCTAACCTTAAAGAGACATCTGGGAGAATGGTGGCCAGTCAAATCTATCCAGAGTAACTTTACACAGTATATATGACGCCTTTAAACAGCTGTTAGAACACGAAAGATCAAGCATGTGGCATTTTGGGCATCTAGAACAACTGATTCGGAGGGGTTCCCCCTCCCTAGACGGACAAACTATTGTTCTGAATCAGTGAACATTTAAATGTCAAGCAAGTTTACCTATTTACATGGGGAATAAAGTAGCACCACAATTAGTGGTAGCTAATCAGCTCACTCTAGGTTATAACCAGCAACACCTTAGCCAATCAACCCATTAACTCTTACCTGTGGCCTGCTGGGGAGATTTGCTGAAAGAGAAAATAAAAGAGATCAATTGAAGGCAGTAGTGTGATTCTACTGGTTCCCCCTTCCAGGCATGCAATAGTTTCCAGCTATTCAATTAATTTAATAATAAAAAAAAAAAGAAACGGGTTTTGGGATTTTTTTTTCCTTTGGCTAGATGCTTTAACAGGGCTAGTTTCCTTGGTTAGCTTCTCCTATCCCACGTGCTTTGAGATACAAAAATTCCACCAAAATATGCAAAAGATATGGTGGCTCTCTCAAACAAATGAACATTCAATGAGTACTTAGTTTTGCAAAAATTCTCAAAATTCCCTATTGAAATCATGCCATGTATTTGGTTTTTGTGTCAAAACAGGGTAAGTTCTGTATATTCTGCTGAATAGTACAAATTCTGACCAAGAGGTCATTAGAGAAACAAGGGGGCCTGAGTCTTCAGTTTCTGTCGCCCTTGGCTCCTTGCCCCAAAGGCTAGGAACACAGTGGTGATGTGTTTGCATCAAGGAAAGGGCCGGGCTAATCCTCAGCATTCAGCAGCCTTCTAGGAACTTGGGCTAATAATTCTGCCTTTGATGAGCCCAGTTAAGAACATCAGAGGAGTTAGAATACGGTGTCTAATTTGCCTGTGCACCTGAGCAGCTCATTTCCTTCCTGGTTGCAGATGGCATGGGACAGTGTAGCTGATCTGGTGGGACTTGGGAGGGCAGCCACTAGCAAATCTCCTAAGACCTCTGCTTTCTCATCTCTCCCGTTTCACTGTGAAATCTCACAATTATTGGACTAGTACTCAATCCTGGGGAGGGAGGGGAGCTCCACCCTCCAATGATGGTAACATCTGTTCTGTGTCAAATAAGAATTGTCCCTAAGCATCTGGTAGGTTACACTACTTCCAGCTGTCATTTTCTGTGCTGAGAGGAAAAAAAAAAAATCTGTGACCACCCAGTGGGTGCTTTGTGAGAAAAAAGGAAAGCAAGAGGGGCAACCTTCTTACGATGCCTGGAGGGAGAGTGTGAGCCCCAGTCATACTGGGGGCAACGACCAGGCTAAGAAAGCCTCGTCCTACCAGACGTGTAAGTTACATCAGGGAAAACAGAATGGACCTTTTCACACAAGGAACTACACCCGCGGGAAAGCTGAGTTGCGTTAGTGTAAAGTATACCACACGCAGAGTTAGACTTCTCTTGAGTCACAAAAGCCACATCCAAACAGAAATCAAATCCATTTTGCTTCAAATCAACGTTTCAATCCTACAGATTTTTTTTTTTTTACAAATAAAGGCTATGAGTACTCCCCTGAACAAATAATACAAATATATTTTTAAAGAAATCAAATCATTGCCATTTTAGTAGGTCTTGAGTTTTTGGTGAATGTCACGCAAGCTCAATAAACTTAGGCAATTCACAAAGGAAATATGCCTGTAGTTTAAAAAAGTAATGATTTTAGAAGAATTTGTTGGTCTATTAGTAAAAAAATAATATTAGGCTTACTACTAGTATCCTGTACATTTGTATGACATAAATGAAAAAAACAACAAAAGATTCTACACACAAAAAAATTAGTTATAGCAGTCAGTGGAAATTTTAGTACATGCGTTGGTTAATAGGCAACACAATTAAACTCTCTTCATTAACTCCTTGCCAAGAAGAGACGGAAATGCCTGCCTCTCTGCTCTGAAATTCCGCTCTGAAACTCAATATAAATAATTAAAAGGAGACTTTAAAAGGCCATAATTCAAGGATGCCATCAGGACCAACTAGGATATTAATCCAAGATAGAGGAATCCTAAAGTGTTGCGTTCAACAATATATAGATATAGTTTAAAAAAAAAAAAGAAGAAGAAATCATGTTTAAGTAGGCAATTCATGCAATTAGGGTTTAAGAATAGAGTTTCATTTTAATTCCAAGATTGTCAGGAGTGGAAATTCACTTGTGATCATGCTAATTTTTAATTCACAAAGGATCAAAAGTCAAGATTAACATGCAGATCAATTCATTGTATGCTGGTGACAAGCAATTTTAAAGTTGTCCTTAGTTACATGGGCTCAAGGGATTGGCTTGGCATTGGGAGGATGCCAATCCGATTTGCTTAAAAAAATTCTCCAACGGTGGTGAGCAAGCTTCAGTAATGCAAAGGCTTATTAAAATATTTGCTAGCTGAGCAACTTAAAAGGGGCGACAAAGAAAAGGAATCCTAGGAACCTTCTGAATTCTATCTGGGGCAGTTTCAACAACTAAAACCTTCCTTCCCAATGGGAATATGTAATCATTCATTCATTCAGTTCAGAAATGTACTGGGTACCAAATCTATGGCAGGTGCTCATTTCCATTCTGCACCCATTTTAAATAAGTTTAATAACTTTAGGCAGAATTTTTAAAATATGTATCAATTTTACAGATAAGTCAATTAAGCCTTTGTTTTTATGGAAAGCTATCCCTCTCCTGGGGATTCTTACATTAACAAAACCAAGTATAGAATAGAAATACCAAAGCAATCTGAACCCAAATTAATAGCAGATCTTCAGAAACAAAAAATAAGATCCGAATTTCAGAGGATTCTAAAATATACTATTCATCATTTCTTACATGGGATGTACTTGAGCTCTTCAGAATAATACATCATAGTAATACTCATCCACAGGAAACTATATAAATATTACAAGTATTTGTGAATGTGCAAACTGACTATGAGAACAGACGGCCAGCATCCTGTTGAAGAATCTTGGGGGTCTGCAGTGCACCCTCGCAACACAGAATGGCACAGGTGGAGAAGACACCAATGCAAAAGAGGAGTTTAACTGTCATGCGGGTCCCACTGAAGGTACGTACTCTCCTCAGGAACCAGTATATCTATAGGTAGCTAAAAAGATTTCAACCAATGGGAATTTTATACTTGCCTTTAAGGGAAGCCATAAAATGAGGCAAACACACACATCTCTTAAGATTCATTTTTGCCCTATAGTTGTTATCATTTATTTCAATTATTTTATCTTCTAAAATATGACATAGATCAGTCTTATACAATAGCTAAATATAAGACTGTATTATGAAAAAGATTTAAGAGTAACTGCTTTAGAAAATTAAACTTTTAAAACACATGAATTCTAGTATACAAATTTTAATATGGAAATTATATATATTATATCCATTAGGAAGCATACGTTTTAACATATTTCCCACCCTAGCTCTCACTGTCAATTAACTTTTAACTTGAAAATGTCCATTATGATCTTTAAATAAAAACTTCTAAACAGGTTTGATTTACAAAATTTGTTTTTAACTAATTACTAATATATTTAGATTTAAGCTGAACTAAAAAAAGTAACTTAGTTTTGAAATTCTGGCTTGTAAAGACTATGATAAGGTTTTATCTAGCCATTCAGTAAAATATAATGCAGAACCAAAATCTCTATTAAATTTAACCTTGAGTTATAATTAATATAAATGATTTACTCTGCTCATCTGTCATGATTGTCATGGAGCCTAGAAAATTAGTAACAATCTGATAGCATATGGGCTTCAACTGACTCTCTTAAGCTTCTCTAATACTCTACAGGGCCAAAAAACTCTGTGTATGTGTGTGTGTGTGTGTATGCGCGTGTGTGTGTATGCATGTGCTTTTGGGGGGCTGAGTGTAGGAACTGATATACAGTAAACATGATTCTGCAAATTTTGAGAAGTGAAATTACAAATAATAACCTATAAACTTACACACTCCCAAATATAAACGTATTTATGTGCTTGTGGAAACTCGTATGTCCTTTAGGCAAATACTTCTGAAAATTCAGAGAAGACTATATTTCAAATAACTGTTTCCACTTCTCAGTAACAATGGCATTTTGCAAACAGTAGAGTGGTATAAATTGAAGCATACTTTTTAAACAAAGTCAATATATCTTATTTATCTACACTCCTAACAACAAATTTCTACTGTGTAGCACAGAGAATTATATTCAACATCTTGTAGTAACTACAATGGAAAAGAATATGAAAACAAATATATGTACGTATATCTACACTCCTGATAAAGTCTTTTTCCTCATTTAAAATGGTATTTTGCGGAGAGGATGGAAAAGGGTGAGATGAGAGGATGTTTTTTATATATATATACACTACATACATATGATATATGACTTATAATAATACACATTTAGTATATATATATAATGTATATACTAAAATTTTAGTGTAATGGCTGACTAGATTTAATCACCCCAAGTTATACATATATTTATGAGTAATATATTCATATTCTAAGAATTATTTAAAATATAATTGTAGCATTAAGTAGCATGTATATACATATAAGTAAACTGTTCTGTCTGAAGTAGCAGGAATGTTTTTGGTGAGCACTCAGTAGAAACTGTAAGGCGGCAAGATGCTGAAGACAAAACGTTTGGAAAAAATCAACAAATAAGAAACCTTATGTAATTTCCTCTGGGATTTGAACTGTTTTTATTTGGCCATTTTCTGGCTCTTGGTTGCTCATATGGAAAATTCATAGGGTCATAATCTGTGATGCCTTAAATTGCTTGGCCTTTATACATTGACTATTTTATTCCGTAAGAAATGCCCCCCCCATCAAAACAAAAACAAAAACAAAAAAGAGAAGGGAAAAAGAGGAAAACTGGAAAATAATCCCTTTCTGCATCCGAATTTGATGACATCAGAAAACAATGTCTGAACAGAGGGAATTACATGAGAGAAGGCTATTTTCATACCTTATTTGGCAAGCCACTAAAAGCTCTCTTTGAAGTCATATTTGTACCTTACTATAGTTTGCATTGAAGAGGATAATTTCTCCGTACAGACAGGCTTGTTCTATTTGCCTCATGTTATCACTCAGAAGGCGTACGGAGAATCTCAAAGAGCCGGACTGCACTGTCCCTGCACCCACGATGTGATGGTATCGAGGCTGGGCTTCATTTGCTTTGTGGACATATGGGATGTTTGATTTATCTTCAAATAATATTCAATGTTGTGTCTATTATTGGCTTTTGTTATCTTACCAAAGAAGACAAAGGACCCCGTGCAGGAAAAAGAAATGGAAGGAAAAAGCACAGCAGTTGCTTATGATGGTCCATACTCACGGCAGCAAGATGGAAACGTACTGTTGATCTGCTCCATGACCTCTGTGAGGTCCGTGCTGGTGTCATGAGGGGGAGCCAGCAGGTCCTCTGGTGCTGTGACAGCAGATAAAAAGAACAACAGACATTCAGAAATAAATGTCCAGCTTCCACCAAAACCCAACTTTAGGGAGAAAATACTAGTACTGGCCTCTAAAGATCAATATGAAAACAGTTCTCTATAAAAAGGATAATTTCAGGTGAAAATTCCAAAACCATTTTTGTATTAATTTGTGGTAACAGATTTTACATAATTAATATCTATTAGATGTTTCTATTGAAAGATTCCATGTGCCAGGGGAAAATTTATGAGTGAAAAAAATAAATACTAGAGTCATATTATTTCAGTTTATTAGTTAGAATTCCCCACCATTTTGCATTGTAAATATTTTTTTATATGAGAAAGACATTCCACCAATTTCTTTTTCTTTTCTTCTTTTTGGAGACTTTAGCATAGGCTAGCTTACACTGCCACAAAACTAGATGTATTTTATGAGATACTTTTTATTCTGATTTTTTTAACCCTATAATCAATAGCAAAATAATTCTCCTATTCAAAAATTAAAATTATATTAGTATTTTGGGTTTTCTTCTGATAAATGTGGCAAAAGATACCCCATAAACAAATTAATATGGTTAAAGTATGTGGTCCTCAGTAGAATTTTAGAGCCTGAATTTCATCAATAACAAAATGTCACTCCAGAAAGCCTGGCTGACAGAGCCCTTCCTAGCAGCAGTGACAGGTCCCCATTGTGGCCAATGACAAGCTGAGTGGGACTTCAGCCTCAGATGCAGGTGGGAGAGGCGGCAATGTCTGCAGGAACTAGGAGGGAGAAAGCAGACCACTGAGTCCGCAGACCTGGGCAGAGAAAAC